CTTTACATCATTACAAAAAATATATGACAAACAAAATATAGTATTCACGGAGCAGTCCACTCGTTTCTCGTTGCTTCTATGTCCCCAAGCAGAGGTTCCCGAGCCGCATACGCTATGAGCTCACCTATCTCCGCCTCACACTCTTCTACCATTCGACATTGATGAGTACACTGCGCCTCGAGGGCTGCAAGGCTTCTTGTAGCTTCAGACAACCTTGCTTCCGCTGCCTCCACATGACGACGCACGTCCACTAGAGATCGTAAACCAACGACGAGTCCCCAAGCCTAGCCCTCCAGAATACGTGCGCCAATAGAATGATGTGTTCCTCAATCTCTACGACATAAAAACCGATTGTCGATAAACTCTCGCAAGTCCTCAGTCACTGCATGAGGACCGGCCATGACATTTGGTCGTGAGGGAGGTTCATAATCTCCAACATCACCGTTGCGAGCATATTCAATGCCCAATGATGACGGTGAAGGGATGGAAGATCCATCATATGGATGGCCGAACCATGTAGGGTGGCTGGGCGAATTTTCAAAATTTTCTTTCTCCTATCCGGGAATCATATTCCCTAATTTAGAAAAACTACATTTTTCAATGTTCTTTCTTGAAACAAACTGGACCAGATCTGAAACCAAAAGAAAGAGGGGGTATATCTGATACAGAATGTAAGTAACTCTCTATGTAGGTGTTCATGCCCAAAGAGGTCACCAAAACTCACCTCCACTGAAGATGACACAACTTATGGTGAGGTAGGATCAACAAGGAGGTTCTTTAGCAAGAACCCTAATTCTTCAGCAAAAATCATGCAAGGGGTTGTGAACACAACTTCAGATTGTTTCTTCCAGCAAGAAACAATATCAAGATCGAATCTTGATCAATTCCAAGAATGGAGATCGAACTGGGTAGGGGCGGCAAGAGCTGAGGGAGAAAACTACAAAAGAAGAATTCACCTACTGAGCAATTTGCCCCTTATTTATAACCCCTTTACGATCAACTTTCTAATCCAATTAGGAAGGAGTTTCTTGATCCAAATCTGTATTTGGATCTGGACTCTTAAGTTGATAAGACTTATCTTATCCTGTAGTTGATCTTGATCAGATTATAAACCTTAATTCGCCCTATTTAATTAAATCACTTAAGCCCCGTTCAAAATGGGCTTTAAGCCCATTAAGTCATATGGCTCACTTTCCCTTTTAAATGCTAGCTAGTTTGGCTCTCTTTGTATGGCATGGGACCCTAGCATTGATCTCCACAAAAGTCATATCGGTTCATCCTAGCTTCTGTTACAAGGCCTAGCCGAATTCACTGCTGAAGACAATGAACCCCTGAGCCCATCAATATGGGTTCTTAGTAGGCCCAACATTTACACTAAGTGGTCATTGAGTCCAACCACCTTATGAAGGCCTATGTGAGATTAGCCCATCAGGTATAACCCTAAATGATCTTACACTTAACCTCTCAACCCATAACGATCAAACACTGCCCGACAAGAGAATACCTCTCCCTTAATTGCAAGGTATAGTGTTGCACTCTCTACTCACAAGGATCCTGGGAATTAAAACATTTTTGCAAACATTTTGTAAAGCCATAATATATATGTACATCTCTATATAAATTGCAAAAACAAATCTCAACAAGTTTGAAATCAACTGCCGGCAGTTTAGGTTTCTATCAGAGAGAGTGCATTCCCCGATCATTCACTTTGTCCGACAAAGGGGTTGATTCTATCACTATGATCGCCCACTCAAATGAATTCTCAGACTACTCCAACATACCCAGGTTTTGACCCCCTCTAAGGATCTACTGATTGGCATATCAAAAATAGCCCAATCCAACACCTAATGCAGTATCATAATCGAGTCTAGGGGTCRGGTGTAAATTTTCAGTTTTTCCCATCTGTCTCCAAGGTCCATGGCATAACTAGAAAATGGTCCAGTTTAGAGTTTCAATCAAACCCACACTACATGTGCTTCAGGTCTCACCCTGGTAGCTGAGACAAGCCACCCCAACCTTCTTGGCAGCACATTAGTGTTAGCCTTGGCAGGATAAACCTTCATAGGTCTATCCAACGGTTGTGAAGATTCTAAACTAACACGAGTCTCACAAGTGTCTAGTTTAAGGGTATTGCACAGAAACACACCAGATATAACATGAATCAATTATATACTTTTATTCATTTACAATAAATGTCAAATGTACATCAATCTGATTGGAGCTAAGGGCATACACTGTCTAACAGACGGAGGGCAACTCGATGGAGGCAGCCAGCCAAATCGAATAGCTGCTTGTGCAAAACTTGCCACTTCCCTTGTTACTAGAAACCTGTCACCCGGACAGGAACCCCGTTGACAGGTTCATACCCCAAGGGGGCGATGGAATTCTCCTCACAATGCCGCCTAAGCAGCTGATGAACCATGGCATACTCCAAACAAGGCCGACCCTGTTGGAGACAATGAAATAGAACCCACAGATTCATTAACGACCATCTGTGCATCGTTTCGATTAAGAGCCATCTCCAACCAAAAATAGCAAAATAGAAGATACACCAAAATAGGAAAGAGAGATTGCACAAACAGTGATACGAAATAGGACACACTGCACCCTTTTATACACACCCTACGGCCCAGTAGTAGGAGACTTGAAAAGACTCATCTAGTCAAACCGTCGCCAAAAGCAGCTTAGGATAGGTAATTAATTCTATCCCTTGAAAAGACGGGTTACTAACAAGTAAATATCTAGATGTAATGACGTAGTTCAAGCCGTCACTGCAACACTAATCACCCAGGGCCGCATAGGGTATCCATCACATTAGATATGTGAAACAATGATCACGGATGCATTACTTCGCCATCGGCCCAGTGCCCGCATGGATACCCATTACGAACAAACGACGACAACAACCACCTAATGCTGAAAGGCCATGACCATACACCAAAGTATATAGTGTCTTTTGGCGATTTCCTTCCATCAGTCAAGGGGGCTAAAACATACCACTAACGAACAACACTGACTGTTGCCACAAAACAAATCACCAAAAGATAGGGGCTAAGCCTTAGAGCATAATGAGCCACCAAACATGAGCACAAGGTACATGCGATTTATACAAAACCACAAAGTAGGAAAAAACGCAAGACCCAACACACAAAGGCAAAATTACGGCAAAACTCAAAAACAACAGGGGCAATATGCTTATCGATAAGCTCCCAATTACCAATAGGCAGGGGGGCTAATGTAGGTATGTACAACTCACTCAAACCCTCAAAAAACACCCAGATGCTAAGAATAACGCCATAGAAGCACTTACAAGCAGCTTACAATTAACCCCCACGCTACGATGAACCCACGGTTCATCACCATCTCTGTGATGAACTCGCAACATGTTAAGCAAAGATGTGACAAACTCGTGGTCTACCGAATCCAATCAACGCCCAACCCTAAACAAACCTCAGAAAGACTCGTCCAAAAGACCCAAGTACACTTGAGTGCACGTTGAAGCCATACCCACCATGACCTGCGATGAACTCACCGCTTGCGAACCCGTTTCGGATAGCGAGTCGGGAAGGATAGTAGGCCGAGCCCATAGCAAGGCTCGTGCGTGTCCAGACACATGCGAACCCACGACAGCAAAGCACTTTGCGAACCGCCATAAGGCATTGACGAAATACCGGCCTTTGGATGATGACATTATCATTTCCATGTAGGATTAGTCATGGCACGCAAAAGGGTAGTAGTACACGTGAGTAATGAAAGATCTTGAGGATAAGGAAAGCCGATCCTTGAGAATATCTTCATGGGACATGTGAAGATACTCTAGTAGTGCATCAAATGATTGCCAACAAGCCAAATATTCCCTTCCCCGATACGGAGCGAATATCCTCATCTCCTACCTTTTAGGATCTTGGGACCTTCTCCATAAATAGAGGGTCCTTCTCATGTTGGATATCATTGGGTCCCAAGCATTTGTTACGGATGCTCTCGGGTTCCCCACAACTCTCTCACCTCTTCACCCCTTTATCAAAAGATCTTCACTCCTCTGAGAGGCTTCTTCTTCGTCTTTCAAAGAGACCACCTCTCAACCGAGCCTTACCCCCAATCCTACGGAAGGGATTATTCTATTTATCCATCTATATATCAAACTAGCCAAACCACAACTCAACTGGTCAATTCATGAATTGGGTCTTTTCCATTCAATGTGGGTCCCAATTCTCAAAGCATTGTAACGTAATATATACACACATAAAAGAAAAGAAAAAGGATTTCTAGTTGTATGAGTTATAAGCAATGTTTTCAAAATCAGGCCAGATGGGACGGTCAGAATGAAAAAAATCGGGAACCGATCACCTGATCAATTCTGTTTCACCCAAAACTGGCCAAAAACTGTTAATTTAGTCAACATACCATTGACTTGGGTGGTTGAACTATTCAAACCGTTAATCTAAACAACCGTTTTGACCATTTTTTTTATTTTTTAATTTATTATCAGAACAAGGTGTCTGTTCAATTCGAACGATCAAACTATTCGATCCAAAAACCAGACCCTGAACGATTCGTTGTCCGGTTCGATTTTAAAAACCTTAAATACAGGTATTAACAACATGCAACCAATCCTTGAATATCAGTCCATAAATCAAGTACCAGTAGATTGTAGAAACCTCTAATCTATATTTTATGTACACCTCTCCGTCTCCAATTAAATGGTTTGTCACCAACATTTTTCTTGGTGAAGTTTGACTTTCAAAACTTCTGAAAACGACAGATTCTCACATCTACCTTCACTTTAATGCAGCGCATGTGAACGACGCAACAATTTTTAGGTCTTTCCATTAAAGCAGAGATATATATAAAGGAACACCTGCCTCTCACAGAGAGAGGAGATTCATATAACAGTCCAAGGCCTCCAATCCCCACTGGCCACCAATGGAATCACAATTTGTTTCCTACCTCCTCTGTCATGGCACGTTACCTTAACTGAATTTAAAACCCACCGAGAACAATTAAAGCTCCTCTGCAGAATTACCTTGAGCCATAGCCAAACACAGACCCGAAACTCTCTAGTGATGCAGGCATGGAGAATTCTGGAAATGAAGTTTTCAGGGAAGAAAACAATGAAGCGAAGATCAAGCAAATCCGTCTAGAGATAGAGATAGCTTTGACGAAGATGAGAAGATCACTAGGTTTGTTGTGGCGAAAGATATGGAGGGTTGGTCGAGAAGATCCACGGAGAGTCATTCACTCTTTGAAAGTTGGGTTGGCGTTGACGCTAGTCTCCTTTCTATATCTGATGGAGCCACTGTTTAAAGGAGTTGGACAAAATGCAATCTGGGCTGTCATGACTGTGGTTGTGGTGCTTGAGTTCACTGCTGGTAAGTTCTACTACTGCTTGTGACTTGTGAGTGGGAACTCTTATAAGTTTGGCTGATAATCTAATGGTTCCTTTTGGTATAAATCTTAGGGGCAACTCTGTGCAAAGGACTGAATAGAGGAGTTGGGACTCTCTGTGCCGGGTCGTTAGCCTTTTTCATTGAATATATTGCAAATGAGTCGAGCCACATATTCCGAGCTGTTTTCATCGGATTTGCAGTCTTTCTGATCGGTATTATTTCTCTATTTTGACAAGAAACTTAGAGCCTTGACCATTGTAGTTCATGAATTCTGTGTAAATATGCAGTACTCACAGTAAGCTTTAATACCCTAATTATAAGTGGAAAGTATTGTGCAGGTGCTGCAGCTACATACATGAGGTTCTTTCCAAATATAAAGAAGAACTACGACTATGGTGTTGTGATATTCCTCTTAACCTTCAATCTAATAACGGTGTCAAGCTACCGGGTTCATAATGTATTCCGCATCGCACACGAACGCTTCTATACCATCGCGATCGGTTGTGTTATCTGCCTTTTCATGAGTCTGATTTTTCCAAACTGGTCTCGAGAAGATCTCCATAATTCCATTGTGTTGAAGCTTGAAGGGCTAGCCAGATCAATAGAAGGTATGTGAATATATAGCAATTCTACACAAAATTGGAAATTAAAACTTGAGAAGCACAAACTCATTGCCCCCCCCCTCCCTCTTAATGTGCAGCTAATTAAGTAGTTGCAGCTATATACATAGAGACCCCATTCCTTTTTTCAAGAAGCTACTATTTATCCATGTTCATGATTGTTTTAATCATAAAAAAACCATTATTAAAAGGGGCATTTTTGTTCTATCCAAGTATAAAATTACTTACCCATGTGGGAGATTATCATTTACCTAGGTAAGTGATACCTACAGATAGACCAGGCAAATGGGTTGTGTGGGTCGGGTTCGGGTTGGGTCAAGACACTTCGGGTTGATTTGGGTCAGGTTTAGGGTTGACCCATGGGTCAATTCGGGTCATCCCAAAAATAACTGAAATTTAAAAACATAAAGAAAAAATATATGAAAAATGCCAAAATTAAAGAAATTAACCTTAAAATTCCAAATATAAAATAAAAAAAAAAACTTGAACATTTAACAATTCAAAGAGTAAACAATAAAGAGTAAAGACTAAATAGAAAAAATTAAAGAGTGTAAACTTCTAACAAAGCATAAATAGTCCCAATTAGACCTGACAATCGGGTCAGCAGGTTGACCCATGACCCAATTCAACCCAACCCAGTTTTTTTTGAGTTGGGTCTGGTCGAATCATTCTCCCATTCATGTAGCTAAATATGAGACCCTAACCCTGTTTTTTCAGGTTGGATTGGGTCGGATTTGCGGGTTGAGTCAACTTTTTGCCAGGTCTTCATACAGAAACCATAGACCCCATATAAATCTAAGAAAAAAACATGGGTATCTCTGTCAATAAACTAAAATCTCACTTACTTTTCCCCCTTTCAAAACCTGAAAAACGAACGGGCCCAGAATGTCACACTATGCAATTAATTCCCATCGAGAAACCATCATTGTATTACTATCCATGAGCTTATGAGGGTTTACTGTGCAGCTTGTGTTAAGGAATACTTCCAAGATGAGGAGATTAAAGCTGTTGAAGACAACGAGGAATCATCAGAGGATCACATTTACAATGGGTATAAGGAAGTTTTGGACTCCAAATCCAGTGATGAGACCCTAGTAATTCTTTTCTCTTCCCTGGTTTATATATTTAAATTTAATAAGGCCTAGTTAGCACTAAAGTGTGTTATCATCCTCTGTTCTTTTAGGCTGCATTTGGTTAAGGCTGTTAAAAACTTCGTGTTCATAGGGGCATTTTTACTGCAAAAAGGAGAAAAGTCATTAAAATAAGGAAGGCCAGATGCAGGCTTAATTAGTCTTCATGGGATAAGATAAATCATGAACTTACTAATGTTTTCAACCCCTCATTGACCTGATTAGTTGGACCAGTGACGCATCCTACTGCAAAAAGTTTTTACAAAACAGAAAATCATAAATTTAACAAAAAATATTATGGTACCCGAAATCATGTACATATCAATCTTAGTATATGTTTGGCATTGATGCTGCAGGTGCTGCTGATGTGTGGGTTGGAAGCACGTTTTCTGAGAAAACGTTGTATTTTTTTCTGTTTGGAAACGTTGCTGCCAGGTAGGACGTTTCTTGCAGCAACAGCAACACTTTCTGTTTGGTACCCGTGCTCTATATCTGTTTTCAGCATTGGTACCCATTATAAGAAATCCACATCATTGCCACATCATGTCCTCGGTAGCAGCAACGATTGCAATCTCAGAAAACATCAAATTTGGAATTGCTCTAAACTACACCTTCTTGATTTCCAAGATGTAGCTTGAAGCACCATTTTTTATGAAAAAACAGATCCAAATATGTTAACATTTCCTGAGGCACCGTTTTTTCTGATGTGACACTAATGTATCACCGTTTTCTGAAACAACGGCATCAATGCCAAACAGACGCTTACTGCAGCCCCAAAAAAGAAACAATAGTAATATAGTATTGAATCCAAAGAAATTGGGGTGCGGGCAGTTTGGGCTGGATTTAATGTCAATTTAGGCCCAATTCTTATTGGGCCTAAGGTAGTCTGTTTATTATATTCTAGGCCCAGTCCATAATGAAATTTGGTTTACTCAGGTTTGCTTGGTCTTAGCTAGGCGGTTGAGTTTGATTAACCGGCCGCAATTAAATTTGGAAATTATGTGTCTATATATGTATATATAGTCGGGCCACTCAGTTGGATTAGGCTTGAGTTATTTAAGGGCTCAGGTTGGGTTGCCCAAATTGCACCCTTATTAAAAAAAATAATAATGTATCTAAAAGGAAAAACGAAAAACCTTAAAAATTAAAGAGTTGATTGTTAAAAAAAATGAAGAAAATAACAAATAATTGTTAAAATAAGGGACCCATAACAAATCACGCTGATGGTAACCTGATCAAACTTAAATGAGGAGATGAGAACATGAACGATGATTGAGTTCATAGAGATAGGAGTTTGAAAAAGTTGTTTCCCTTCTTTAATTTTGTTAAATGAACAAGATCAAGTATAATGGAGAAAAGAGTTATGACAAGATAAGAATATAGAGCAAAAGAGTTATCTTTGGTTTCTGTTATGTTTTCATTATGTTGATTTTCTATAGAAATGAATGATTAATAAAGAATTGTTTATTATTACATAATATAGTAAATATTAGAGCCTATAAGTTATAAACCTTGGAACCAAAATAGTGGATCAAAATTTTCTTAGATAATAGGATTTACTTAATAATAAAGGGGCCCTATTGCCCTATTGCCCTATTGTGTGTTGATGATTGAACATTAGTATTTGAGTTATAGATAATGAGAATAACAATTAATTCTGAGTGGATGGATTAGGCACTACATGCAAGTTGGGAGCCAAGGCATTCAAGGCACTGTCATCGTTACCCATGGCAACAGTATGTAAAATTGGGAGCTGCTCTTCGACATTTTGGCCATACAGCTGTGGCTCTACACGGATGTCTGCAATCAGAAATTCAGGTAATTAATTAAGAGATTAGACTTCATTTTGTTTTAATATGTTGTTTTGTTACAAATATAAATTTGTAGAGTGAAAAATTTTGTATTTTGTATGTATTTATAATATATATATATTTGTGTTTTTATTCTTTCCAAAACGAGTTTAAGGCCTTATTCGTTTTTCAAAAAGCCACTTGAGTAAATATTTTCTAGATAAAATTTGCTTACCCATGTTCTTTTGATTCTGAGGTAAATTATATAATAACTTTGATTTTTTTATCCATAAAAAACCCAATACTAAAATGGATAAACTTGTTCCATTATATTCTATAAACCATATAAATCTTGTTAACATATGAACATTGAACCATCATTGATATTTGGATAATTTCTAGACCCCACATTCTGTTCGAGCTTTGTTCAAAGATCCGTGCATCCGAGTAGCCAGGGAAGTATCGAAGGTACTCATAGAACTAGCCGACAGCATTAGGGAACGTCGCTGCTTCTCTCCGGAGGTTCTCTCTGATCATCTTCATGAAGCTTTACAAGACCTCAACAGTTCCATCAGGTCCCAACCTAGACTGCTGCTTGGCTCCAGCCGTAACAAAACCAGAAACATGCTCACCACAGCTGCTACAGTTGCCAAACAGAACCCCACCAAGGACTCTGGGGTTTCCTTATCCTTCGCCAGAACTGATCCTTCAGCTTTCCTAGAGTGGCGAACTAATCGGGTTATTGATCAGTCTAGGGAGTCAGAGACGAGACTGTTAAGGCCAGCGCTGAGTAAATTCTCGACTTCGAGTTTTGAATTCTCTGAAGCACTTCCATTTGCTGCCTTTGCTTCTTTGCTAGTTGAGACAGTGGCGAGGCTCGGTCTTATCATTGAAGAAGTTGAACAACTAGGAAGGCAAGCAAGATTCAGAGAGGTAAAGCCTCGTGAAGAACAAGAGCAGATTAAAGTGACGTGTGAAAGACCACCAAGAAGAGTTAATGCTGTAGAACTGCAACCACATTTGGATGCCAGGGGAATAGAATGAATGGAGGTGGTTTTGGAAACTGATTGCTGCCAACCCAGTAAAGCACCATCTCTTTGGTACCATTGTGTTCTGTACATAAGAAGACTATGTACGATTGAGCTTGAGCTTTCAGAACGAATTAGAGGAACTAATGAAACTTGGTTTTGATTGATTTCTTTATCCATCAATAAAAACTGTCATGTCAATCTTTTCTTATTTGATAATTTTTGCCTCACCAGTAAATTCTACATTGGTTAAATTACTTTGGTGTTTGGCTGTTTAGTTTTCTTTTGGTGAATGATTTGGGTGCTTCTAATTTTGAAAGTTGTACAAATATTTAGGGAAAGTTCCCGATTAAGACTCTATATTTTGGGCCTAGTGCCACTTTGGTTCCCAAATTTTAAAACGTGACAATTCAGTATCAGAACTTTCAAAATGTGTCAATCCAGTTCCTATCGTTAACCAATCTGTTAACTAGCCATGATATTTGAAAAGACACTAATGCCCTTTGAGTGTCATCTAATTTTCTTTATCAACCATTCACGTGTTGATAAAAATGAACAGTCTCAAATCTTTGTCTCTTCTATTCAAGAAAGTTGTGGTTACATCTCAACGGGCATGTTAGCGACCCCAACTTTCCTGAACAGAAGAGGCAAAGATTTGGGACTATTCATTTTTTGTAAATGTTTGGATGGTTGATAAAGATAATTAAATAACGCTTGAAGGATACTTGTGTCTTTTTAAATGGCACTTAACGGCTGATTAACAGGCTGATTAATAGCAGGTACTAGATTGTTAAATTTTGAAAGTTCGGATACTAAACAGTCACCTTTTAAAATTCAGGAACCAAAATGGCACTATACCCAAAGCACAGGATACTAATCTGAAATTTTTCCTAATATTTATACAATCAAACTTTTAATGCATAGTTAAACACAGTCTGTAGTGTATACAATCAAACACTTACCTGTAAAGTGGTAAAAACATCATCATCGTCATTGTTGGGAAAAGACTAACAAACCCAAGAACAAGATAAAAATCATTGGCAAGTAGAGAAACATAAGAAAAACATAAAACAGAGCAACCAATATTTGTGAAAATGGGCCCTGATCGCTGATCCTAAAACCCAAGAGATGCTTCTGAAAATGAGCGACCTACAACCAATGTTTCTGGCTACTTTGTCTGATAAACATAAATCAGGCCAATAGTTTCTGGCTAGGCCTCAGGTCCTAAGCCCATCGAGCCCAGGAAGATTCCTTATTAAGATATTTTGATTTCTCATCAATTTATTTGATTTTTCTGTTGATTAATTGCCATCAATTGATCTCAGAAACAGTTTGGTCTGATATATATGATGAATACAACCCAATAGAAGAACACCACATGTCACTATTTCTTTTTAAAGAGTTGAAATTACGGATAAGGTATGTTTTTATGGCCTTGTGGGGACATGGACATTGGTGAACTTCCATCCATCTTCGTAATCTTCGCAATCTTTCCAATCTTCCAAATCCCAAAATGAATTCAGCTTAGCCATCTCAATTCTCAGGGATGGCTTGTCTGTCAAACTCTATCTCCCCGAGGTGGAACAAGAGTCCATCAAGCTTCTTTGATTGGAACAGAGGCAAGAAAAGAAGTGAAGACAGGCCACAACCCAAGTACCATGACATTGATCTTCCCTTCTCCCCCTCTCTGCTAGACAAGACGTTCTTACGAGGTTCTCTCTGTCTGTCTGTCTCTGTGATTTTCGTCTGTGAGTTTTCTAACGTTGTGGAATGATGGTTGTTAGCAGGCAGGGAGCTAAAGTGCTGTTACAGGGCCTCCATTGATGGGTTTAGTGCAACGAACTTCCACCTCTGCAGCGACTTCAAGGGGCCTTGTGTGGTGATCGGCTACACCAACAAATCTTTCAAGTTCGGGGCTTTCAATCCAGAAGGTTACCGGAGCACCGACGATTACTATGACACATTTGATGCATTCCTCTTCTATTGGAAAGACAATGAGGAGCTTCAACCGATTATCCTGCCCAAGGTTGGAGGCAGTGGCGCTGCTCTCTTCGACTATGCCAGAGGAGGACCCCAATTTGGAGCTGACGGACTAATCATCGGCCCTCCGCTGGCACCTGTTATGGGTGGGTTCGCCGGGCCTGATACCAACTCTGGTGTTGGTGACCTAACGCAAGCCAAATCCAGATTGGGGTTGTCATATGCCAAGAGGGAGGATGGGAAAGAGTCCTTGTTTGGGGATGAGTCAAGGGCGACTTTGGAAGAAGTGCTTGTCTTCTGTAGTCCACAAATTGCAAGCTTGTATTAAGATCAAGAAATAATACTTATCAGTGGTGGATAGAAAATGAAACTGAAATTCTTAAAGGTGTCTGGAAGTTGCAGAACCAAAGGAAGAGAATTTTAGGACTTTTGTGTCTCTTTAGTTCACTTCAACTGGCCAACGATGTTTGTAAGTATGCTGCCAAGGATTTCATCTCCAGGGTTTGGTCTCATGGGTTTCTGTTTATTTTTGGATCAAGCTTAATTATAGCAGAACAGAACAAGCTGTTCTTTTCTTATTCCTGTTCAATGTACTTCGACCTTCACAGGATAGTTTGAACTTGTTGAACACACACCACTTGATGCCAAGAAAAGATAACAAGGACCAGACTATTTGAACGTTTCATTACCATAATGGGAAAGGAATGGTGGCTTATGTGCATCCACTTTCATAAGTTCATTATTCTAATATGTAAAGTAGGTAAAAGATTATTTCTGTCCAATTTCTGATACTTAATGGATTAATACGAATCCATTTTAGGTTTATAGGTAAGCATGGTGATACTATAGTTTTTTTTTTTTCTTTTCAAAAACAAAAAGAAAAATATTTTATTAATGATCATAAAAAGGGGCATAAAACCTGACCCACAAAACTATACAAGGAGCAGCAACCCTACCAAAAAAGGAACAAAACAAAATCAAGCATAATGGGGATGGTAACCTTTGTTTGTTCTTGACAATATACTTCAAGCATAATTGAGAGGTCTTCTAGACCTCCTTAGACTTGAAATTGTTTTTCCGCTCTTATTCCCCATTCTTGATTTGGGTCATTATTTTTCTCCCCAAATGTATAATTTTTTTCAATTGGATTATCACCAATGTGGTTGCCTATTCTCGCAATGGTGGTTATATATTCAGTATCAGTTTTGTATGTATCACTTCAGGGTGATGGGATATGCTCCTCACAAATGGGCGCCTCACAGGCATATCCACCGTGCATTGGGAATATCTCCCATGAATTATAACTAGTAAATACGGGAAATGTTTCCAATGCATGATAGGATGTCCATGTGAGGCACCAGGTGTGAGGAGCAGATCCGGTCTCCACTTTAGGGCCCCTTTATACTTTGTAATGACAAAAGCTACTAATTTAATCTTGTACCTTTTTTTTTTCCAACACCAACTATCAAATCATCATAGTAAAATTTTGCGCCGTGGGTCAAACAAATTTCAGCCTTTAGCCACCTACCTGCATCGATCCACTTTGTTCTTTTGTTTCTTAATTTTGAATGGGTTTGTCTTCATTAAGAACAATTGGGACCTCAATCGCCTTAGAACTTCCTTCACATATAGCAACATCTTTTCTATGTTTTGGTCTTTCTATCCCTTTTTTGACACTATGTTGGCATTTCTTGGAACACCTTTTAGGCTTTCACAATGTACCAGATCAGCTTTGGGAATTTCACCATCATCCCAAATAATAATGGTATTTTCAACCTTGGGTGAATCAACTACTTCAACCATAGTAGTGGTATGATCAACCAAAACTACAACCTCATGTTCCAAGGTGTTTGTTACTGCTCCTCTTGATTAGGTTACTTGTAAGCACTTCCTTACAAGGTTCCTCACAATGTACCAGATCAGCCTTGGGAATTTCACCATCATCCCCAATAATAATGGTATTTTCAACCTTAGGTGAATCAACTACTTCAACCATAGTAGTGGTCTGATCAACCAAAACTACAACCTCATGCTAATCAACCTGAACCTTATTGTTAAAGGATCCTTACACAGTGAGGAAAATTTTAAATTTTTATTGTGGCAGTTATGTTAAAACCACAATGAAAATGTTTTTAATAATAAAAACATGCCCCCTCCTATTATTATTATAGACAAGGCTCAAAATGAGATAAGAGTTGTTATCCCAGTTAGATGGGTTAGTGTTGAGATGGAATCAATTAAAATAAACTTTGACACCTCCTACATTAATTATAAGTGTACCATTGCTTGCGTAGCTAAAATTTAGGCCAAATTCTGGACCTCAAAGCTTACAAGATTGGTGAAACCACTATCAATGTGGCTGAACCATGGGCTGCTGGGAAATCCATAATGTGATGCTGAATTTCTTCAACAAGAATATCACTATTGAGGGTGAATCCAAACTGGTTATTGACTGTCTGAAAAACCCTGTAAATCCCCATCGAGAGTGAAATTGATCAACGAGGACTGCATGTCTTTATTCAAGAGATTAAAAGGCAAAGTGGAATCTCGTCACATCTACAGAGAAGGCAACATTGCGGCAGATTGGTTAGCTAACTTTGTGCACTCCAATGATGTATCTGATTCTTTCATACCAAGACCCTCAAGTGTGATTGGTTGTTTTGATTTTTTGGGACGTGCTACCCCCCATTCTGTGTAGCCCATTTTCTTGATCTATAAAAAAAAATGGAACTATGCTCGTTCAGAGAATATGATTGAAAAGAGTTTTCCCTTCTCTCTGTTCTGTTTATTCCTTTTTAATTTTTCACATAAGTAATAAAACCAAATGTGCCACATTGGCCAAACTCAGATGGGAAATCAAACTGCATCAATTCAAGGTCCAAAAGGCTTAACTTCTGGATCAACTGCCAGGATGAAAAATCAGAAACAATCCATATTGCAAAATCAAAATATAGCGACCATATACAAACCCAATAACAATATTGAATCCAATAGAGAGCTTCCATAGACCAACTCTCATATTTCTACCATGCGAAAGGTGATGTGGCTAATCAAACCAAGCCACTGTCCATGTAGGATTTCCCATCCGTGCAGTCAAGCAGTTCACATCAGCCCATGTAGGCTCAGGAGTAGGACCTTACCTATAGCATGCATTACAGAGGACTGGGGGCGGGGGAAGCCCACTGGCTATAGAATGGAGAGCAGCATGCGGATTTATCTGGACATCACTCGTAGCATCTGATATAGGTAAAGGAGAATAGATGCTGGAACTCTCAAAAACTAATTAGTAATACATAATTATACCAATAACAGCTATTTAGCATTCCTTGGTATAGGGTCCAATGTATAATGGCCAAGTCTACCAGTCCTATACAAATTAAGTAGCTTCAAAGCTACTCTATGATTAATATCCTTAGCTGATCCCAGAGGAATATGAAAAGCCTCCTGCAATGCAATGAATTGAACTTTAATCAGCTTAGACAGCTCTTTTTCATCTTCAAGATTTCCCTTGAAAGATGAAATAGACTCAAAAAGGGTTCGACGAACATCCCGCACAATGAAATCCTGTAAAAAATACCATTTTAAAGGAGAAAAGAAAACAAGGAAAGAGAAGATGGCAAAGTCAATCCTGATATATTTATTTTTGGTAAGAAAATAATCTCCAATAGCCAATAAGTTACGGAGGAATTCAATAAAATGATAATTATCTTTGATGGTTTATATCCTTTATGGTACATGAGCATAAAAGCACGTACTGTGCACATACAAGTAAAAATACAAACATAAAAGGATGAGAAGACTATCTAGATTTTGGAACTTTGCTACTGTACTAAAACTCAGTGACTAGATTTAAAGATTAAAATATTTGGACAACCACTACTTGCAAGCACTGATATTATATGATACTATTAATACATTCTAATTTAACTGTTATGCATGGATTTGAAATACTGAAACCAAGCAAAGCAAGTATAGGCATTATATAGTAAAGATTTCAAAAGCTTTGCTTAGAGAAAGTATACATTCATGTAACTCTTAGCAGAAAAAAATGAAATTTGCACAAAAATCATGTTAAACCTTTATTTTCGAAACATATGTAACTTAAAATTTTAGCAATACAAAACACCTTAAGCTTAATTTCTACAGAATATAGTATGACATAATACACTATCAATGGCCATATCCTCTGACAAATTTGAGCCATCAAATTTTTGCTCACTTCAATTTGTTGCCTTTAAGCCTACCCTTGGTGGTTTTAGAACCCTTGACCCACATCAGACCAATCTTTACTGCTGCAGTATGTGGTCTTTCAAGCACATTACTAAATCATTCCATTTAAAAATCATTGTATTAGAATCTTTATCTTTCACTCTTAAAATAAAATAATATTTTCATTGAAAAATCTTCAGGTAAAATATGTAACATTTTTTCCAAAAGAAGCTAAGGTTTTCATCTGCCCTTTGGTTTGGGAGAATCTTCTTTTTTTTAATAAAAAAAAGGTAGACAGAAAACTAGGGACCATGTGGGACGTTTTAAATTCAACTATTAGAAGTAGACAGAAAACTAGGGATACTAGAAAGATGGGTACTGTAGTCATGAGTATTTCTTAGGAGGGAGAACGAAAGTTTCCAATTATTATTTGCTCCAAGCATGTCATGCATGAATAAATTCTCTAACCATAATCCTCACACGAAAAAGGAAATTTTATGACAAGAAGCCCTAATGAGGGTATATCCTGACCTCGTTGAATGTAGGATTTCTTGTGTATAAGTGGTCAATTATAAACATTAGTACAAGTTCTCTAACACATATGGCATACACTTACCAAAAAAAAACATATATATGACATTCACTTTTTTACCAATAAAGATAATCCAACCATTTTAGAACAAATACGTTATCTGTTCCTCCAAAAATCATCTCACAAAGTGCTGATCTTAGCTATCTCATCTTATTGCATGTCTTGGTATGGGAAGTGAGATCCTAAATAAAAAGGCCCTCATGGTTATTTTTGAATCAATTATCAGGATGATTTTTTTATATGAATTTTACTGCAAATCTGCAATATATTCCAGTACCCCCATAAGGGTTGAGCAGTAGTCCTATGATCAGAATCTACCAGTGGTTGGTGCCTGGTGCCTTGAGTGATCTGGCGACATTTGTCATAAGGAGTTGCTTCATACCTGTGTGTGATCTGTAAGATATTGCTTTCTTCTTCTCAACTCTACCTCAAGGTTACCACCAAAATTTGTTTTGTGGTCTCGAGATGATTCTTCATCCTCTTTAGCAAGCAAGTTCTCCCAGTGCTTGTACTCATTACTTGTATTTAGGATAGACAGAAAATATTCAGCAATTTCACATTCCTCAACCAAACTATCACTAATAGCCCCTGCGCTTCAGAGAACAAAATATATCAAATAATGCAATCTTATTGTAGGGAAACCTGAAGCTTGGAATTATTGGACCAAATATAGATATTGATACCAGCAAACCTAGTGGCTTAAAATAACTAGAATGGAAGAGAATTAAGCATGCCATGCAAAGGGTTGGAATGTGCAAGTCAGAATATTCTGTCAAACCCAACATTTGGCTCAGCAGGACAAGAAAGTGGACTAACCTGCTGAGCTGTGATAACCAAAAATATCCATTTGTCATAACATGGGTGTACTACTAAATATGCGTCAGACCCACCAAATCAGTATTTTAGTTTTCCAACTCCAAGATAGATTTGGTACAAGACAAAGGATCTGAATATGAACCAAATATTAACTATTAATTGTTTGCGTTTAATTATTATTGCAGTTCAAAGTTGAACGTTGACTGCATGCAAATATGCAATGCTCAATTAGGGCTGTCAATGAATTGGATATTAATCCAATTTGAATTCAATTCCATTTGAGTAAGCTAGACTAGGATATCCACAAAGGTTAACTGGATTTAATCCAGATCAGGAATATATGATCTGTTTACAATTAGATCAAATTTGAATATATGCCAATCTGATTAAACAAAGATCCCATTTGATTATCTACGTATAAAAAGTGTATATTTTATATATTACTAGTGTAAGAGCATGTGCTATGCATGTGTGCATGTAACTATTAACCAGATACGATATACAGCATTTGGATTTAACTTTTATGACTTGTACAGAACCCAAGGCAAATAGGCAATTATCCAATTTATATAATAATAGATATGTATGGTTATTTGCAAGACATTCATACCCTCCTGTTCATACTTAGTACTTGATTTAAAAGTTTAAAGGTTAAAATTCTAAAACTGAAAGGCAAAATATACATCTTACAACTCAAACCATATTAGAATGTAATTCCATCTCTAAGAAAGGAGGTGGCTAGTATTTTCTTTAGGACCAAAGCCCTAATTGACAATAAGAGTACAACTTGAAGAACTCATTCAAACATGCTGCAACTCAAAACCAAATCAGTTGCATGGATAGATTTCAGCAAGTATCTTCTTCATTTTCTCCAATTAATTCCAAAAATATCTCCCCAGTCCATTACAAGATATGAACAACAAAAGGAGCAATAGCCAAAAAATATACAACTCGTACCTTATTTGTCTCTATACTCTTTCTCCAAAAAATACATTCTTCCTCTTCTTCATTTTTTTTCCATAATTTTTATTTGGTTTTTCTGTGAACGTCCAGCAGTTAAATGATTAAAGCTTTTATGAAGAAAGGAAAGATACTTGTTTTTCTCTTTCTTTTTATGATGAGTTGGTTCTCACTTACGTTCTGTAGTTCTTCTGTGCTGTAAATTGTTTGAAGAAATAATAGCTCATTTTGTCAAAACTTGAATTCTTTATTTGTTTTGCATAAATTTCTTAGTTAATTTTTTTAAGTTCTTTAGCTAATTTTATTGCAGTCACTGTACCAAAAGATAATGCAAGATATCTGTTTGCTTCTATAGCTGTTTCTCTTTTTTATTATCTATATTGAATGTAATATGAACACACTTCTAATAATTTTTACAAAATTAAATCAAATAAAAATACCAGTAATTGAGAACCTCTTTTTATCAGTAAAACAGAGAACATTTTTTTTTTATCAATAATTGAGAACCTTTGGATAACAAATAGAATACAAACATCAGTTAATCTGTATCAAGAACCTTAGAATAGATATTGTACTATCTGGATTGCATACATAATTTTCTTCTTAGTTTTTAATTGTCTTGCAAGCTCATTTGTTGCCCTCTTTATCAATATTCAATAAGAGAATGCACCTAAAATATTAAATATCGCTGCTTGTATGATTGTAAACTAAATATTTCTCCTCTAACATGTTATATGTCCTTATGCTCATACTAATTGAAAGACCAATATTAGGTAGGTTACTGTATTCTGAGATTGTGGTTTCAGATAGACTAGAATCCTAGAAAAATACCCACATCAGAACTTGTGTAACTCATAGCTTGACCCTTAGCATGCCTTGCAAAATCATTATTACCGTATACATAAAAAGAAGATTTATTCATGAAACAAACTGTACCTGTTAAAACAAGTTTAGAACCCATCTCAACATCAAGAATTGAGGGATGTAACACACCAGGTGTATCCAAAACATAAATGTTGGGATGACTTCCAATCTGCATATTAGAAATTTACTCTTAGTTTTACTTTTATGACATAAAAGAATGCAAAGTTTCAGCATCTGTTAGATAAAAGTAACTAAGCCATGCTGCTTGGAAACATCTACATTAAGGATGATAATGGGCCAGGCCAGGGTGGGTTTTTACAGGGTGGAAACAACATTTAGGGCATCCCAGGCCTGATTGTCCAGGCCGGGAATCCAGGCTTGTCCTATAAGTTAAAAAAATTATATTTTTAAAATTAAAATTTTAATCTAAGTTTATAATCAATATTAGAGAATATGTATTTATAATAGATTATTATTAATACATATATAATAAACATTATTTATATTAACTTCTGGGTCAGGATGGACTTCCTAGGCCTAGGATTTTGGGGCCTGGGCATAGCCCGCATAATGTGCAAGCCTGGGCCAGGCAATGCAGGCCCAGGCAGATATGATCAACCCTAATATACATATACCTCAATGCAACCACAGTGTTAGTTCTGTGGAATGCAGACATTTCTACCCTTTTGATCTATGTGGAGAAATTGAGATATCAATTGTGTGGCATCTCCATGCACATAGAATACACTTTTATATGCTCACAATTTTTTTTAGTATCTATTTAAATTATTTCTACCACCTTAAAAGTGGGAAAAAATAGTTAAAGGAAAGAAAGAGAACCAAAAATCAATACCTTCAAACTACTGATATCTTTTGTCTCCCCAGGCAGTGGACTCACAATTGTGTGCTTCAGCTTTCCCTTCTCTTGCATTTAATATGTTAGACATGGTGTGCCATTAGATAATTAAGCTTAATCTCCATTAATTATTATAATCTTTTTAGATCTAGGCAAGCAAAAAAATGATTTAACCTAAGATATATACCTGCAGCACTGATCCGACCAATTTGGTGCAAAGAGTTGGCAAGGGATGATTTACCAACATTAGGAATTCCAACAAGCATTATGGTCGTGGTATACTTGAGCTGATCGTCTTTCTTCAATTCTCTGACTCTAGCTTGTATGAAGTTCAGAAACTACAAAGCAAGACCTACCATTATATGCCACTAGTTGTTAATAAAGAAGACCAAGGTTACCTGTCAAATGACCCATCAGAAAGACCTCTACAGAACCACCAGTTCCATGCAGAAATAAAGGAAGATGGAACTAAAATTACATCAACTTAGGTAGTTTCCCATGCCATAAAGAAATTTGCAAAGAGTACAGGAGGGCATCAATCAAAAAACGAGAATACAGGAGGGCAGTCAAATCTGCTGGCTTTAGCAAGTTTTGACTTGGCAAAGATCAAAAACATGGACTGGAGGACTTGAGAAAAATAATTAATTATTGTAAACAATGGGGCATCTTGCAAGAGTCTTGTGACGTTTGTTAAGACTGGATGCTGCTTCTACTTTCCAGGCTTTTCCAGCTTTGTTGGGTTCCTCCGTGTTCTGTTGCCAATCTACTTTCTGGGTGGAGAGATGGCTGTTTCTTAGCCAAAGGATGCTTCCTTTGGAACACCCTTCCATTTGCGCTATGCTAGTTAGTCTGGAAGGAATGAAATCAAAGAGTTTTTCAGTCAAAGTCTGAGCCAGTGGAGGCCATTATAGGCAAGGTGGAAAGGGTTCTGAAAAGCTGGGCTGTCTGCTTGAAATTTTTTGTGGGTGTTCCCACCAATTTCTTTAATGATCACTGGTGGTCTATCATTTTCTGAGTTGTTATGTAAAGGTTTTCATTGTATATGGTCTATGCATACATAGGCACACTTTTATATATGATTTGAGGGTTTCTTGCCCTCCTTTTCGATTCTTAATACAAAACTGTACCACTTGTCAAAAATAAAGACTTGATGCTTCTTCTCATTATCCAAAAGAATAAGAACATCAAACAATCATATGTCTGAAACCATGGAACAATAGGCCCTTCAGTCATCCCCGTGCACCACATGAAACAATGCTATAGTGGACATACAACAGAAAATTTATTTCCTTACATTAAATGACTGCCGATCCATAACAAAGTACCATTGGAAATCCAAAACAAGGGAAGACATATATAAACCAACATCCACATACCATAGTTTGCTAGAAAAGTCACCTAGAAAAAAAAGCTCTTTCTCATGAAGATTCAGTGTAAAAACCTCTGCCATGAAGAATAAGAGACCTCTTTCCCTTTCTTCTTGGATTTTCTTTTTATTATATATTTGATACATCAATAGTTTGTATAGTTGAGACAAGACTTAGATGATAATGATGATGATGAACAGCTTGTATTAGCTGGATAAAGAATTGACAATATGTATTAATTACAAAAACAAAAGTGCAAAAGTGAGGCTTCAATATGTCGTAGGTTATGCATTTAAGCCATGGTGAACCCAGTGATGTTTGATGAACTATCCAATCAACTTTACTGATTGATGATATAATCCTTTCATGGATGAAAAAGGAGAGGTTGTCTGAGAAGAGATATAGATGACCTATTTAAACAGCCTTTTGTAAACCATAGGATTGAATGACTAACGAACTGCTTAATGCAACTATCCAAGGATATCCTAAAAAAATTATTAACATGACAAGCAACTTACCTCCTTGATATTATCTTTGTTATGAGAGTTGATTCCATAACAAACACAGCTTTGTTCCTCAAAATATCTCAACCATTCCTACAAGTAAAATGATATGTACTTAAATAAAAAATGAAATAATCAAGCAACATGCAATGTGTATCACATCACATCACATTACACATACACACACACACTGATAAAGCCCAGCATGAAGAACCAGATCCAGTCCAGGCCCATACTATAACCAAAGCATGCAATGAGCAGGACTCTACCTGATGTATAGGAAGGCTATACATAGCCAGTTCGAGATCTGAATAACAGATGAGATATCAGAAGTTCCTCTCTCTCAGCAGATGCAGGCATGTCTTTTATGGTTTGATTGCAGCTAGCTACATTTATTCTTTTCTAAAATCCAGTGACATCCAAAGCACACAATCACATGCATATGCCTATTTATGTATAGCCATTCCCGTATTTCTAGATTTGAAGAACTTGTCGTGTTCAACATCCCATGTCCAGGTTGAAGCATCAAGCATGACAGGTGCATGTGTCCAATATCACAGCATTACTATGTGTGTGTATTGTAACCTTTGCATTATATTAGTCTACACTGTGGTCCTACTTTTAAAATCTAGTAGGTGGATTTATTCAATACCAGTTAATAAATAATGTTAATTCTCTGTCTTTACTTAAAATAAAAAAGAAGCTAGTCATCCTTTTCATATTTTTTATCTCAAATTAATTCTTGACTCATGGACTTCTATCAACCTTGTCATTGTAATAGGAAATAATATGTGTTAGCGTAGGGGTATTTCTGTCTTTTTACCTAGATTAATGTTGCTGATCTGTAATGTTGTGTTGGAACCAGTGCTCCTAACTTAAATAAGGGCACATATGTCTTTTCAATTAGTTTTAATAATATAAGTTTTGTCTGGCCAACTGGGAGAATGTTATGTTGACACTTCTAGTTCGAACCAGAATTTTGCCCTTCTCACTTTCTCTCTTTCTTCCACCTTTCTACCTCTTTCTACCTAACCGATCTCAAACAAATAGAATTCTAAGGAAGGCCGAATCATAACAATATGAAATCTTCAAAAGAAAAAGAAAAAGAAAAAGAGAACTAAGTGGCAAACTAAATCAGTAACATTTTTTAAATAGGACAATATATTATTAAAGATGAAATAGAGATATAGGGACTGTTAGTGTTCGGTCTGCCTGTTATAACAGTCAAGGAAGTGAGAGAGAAGAGAGGAGAGAAAGAGAGAAAGGAGAAGAACAAAAGAGAAACAAGGAGAAAAGATTCTGGTTCGAATGAGAGAAAAAGCACTCTCCCATTCGGCCAAATGTATTTTATATTACTAAAATAATGTGGAAAAGTCACATATGCCCCTACTTAAGTTAGGGACGTTAAATCTAACATAAACTTACACATCAACACCTAAACACAAGCACAAAGACAGAAATACCCCTACATACTCGACACTAACACTCCCCCTCAAGCTAGAGAGTATATATCATATAATCCCAGTTTGTTATATATGTAGTCCACTCTCCCCCGACTCAACCCTTTAGTAAACAAATCTGCCCACTGGTTCCCTGTGTTGACATATGCAGTGTCTATCACTCCACTCAGCACCTTCTCTCTAACAAAGTGACAGTCAACCTCTATGTGTTTGGTTCTCTCATGAAACACCAGATTAGAGGAAATGTGAACTGCAGCCTGATTGTCACAGTAGAGCTTCATTGGAGTATCAACAGTGTATCCCATCTCCTGTAGAAGGTTCCTTAGCCACACTAATTCACAAGTAGTATGTGCCATAGCTCTATATTATGCCTCTGCACTGCTTCTTGCCACAACTGTTTGCTTCTTGCTTTTCCATGTCACCAGATTACCCCCAAGAAAAGTGCAATAGCCTATGGTAGATCTCTTATCAGATACAGAACCGACCCAATCAGCATCAGTATATCCTTCTATTTCAAGTTTTCCACCACTTCTATATATCAAACCACGACCAAGAGCCCCCTTTAGATACCTCACAATCCTTATAACCGCATCCCAATGTGGAACCAAAGGTTTCTGCATGAACTGACTTACCACACTAACTGCGAATGAAGTGTCTGGCCGAGTGATGGTTAGGTAGTTCAGTTTACCTACCAGCCACCGGTATCTGTTAGGGTCTTCAAACACTTCACCCATATCACTACTCAGCTTAGTATTTGTTTCCATAGGAGTTTCAGTTGGTTTAGCACCTAACAAACCTGTTTCTTCAAGCAAATCAAGAACATATTTCCTCTGACATAGGTTAATACCATGCTTGGACCTTGCTACTTCTATCCCCAAGAAATACTTCAATTTACCAAGGTCCTTTGTCTGAAAATGTTCCTGTAGAAAGATCTTCAACCTGTCAATGCCCATTTTATCATTCCCGGTAATGACAATATCATCTACATACACCACTAATAGGATCTTCCCTACCTAAGAGTCATGACTGAAGACGGAATGATCAACTTGGCACTATTTCATACCAAACTTCTTTACTACCTCACTAAATCTGCCAAACCATGCTCGATGAGACTGTTTAAGCCCATAAATGGCCTTCAGTAGTCGGCACACCTTACCATCCTCCCCCTGATCAACATTGCTCCATATAGGCCTCCTCGAGCAAATCACCATGCAAGAAGGCATTCTTGATATCAAGCTGATAGAGGGGCCAATCATACATCGCAGCAAGAGAAATCACAACACGGACTAAACCAATCTTAGCAACC